TAATCAAAGAAGAGACTTAAGTCTTTCAAGCACCAAACTGTAAAGCAGGCAGTGTCTATGAGTGGGCATGGTGAACACTGGGTGGTAGTGGAAGTTACCAGCAAACTTGACAAACTTGATATCAAGTCTGTGGTGGTTTGAAAGAAAATGGCCTTCATAGAGAATGGTACTATTAGGATATTTGGCATTGTTAAAGTAGGTGTGGTCTGGTTGGAAGTGTGTCACTGTGGAGGTGGACTTTGAGGTCTCATATATGCTCAAGCCACACCCAGAGTGACAGACCACTTCCTGTTGCTTGCCTATGAGATGTAGGACTCTCTGCTCCAGCACCGTGTCTGCCCGCATGCCACCATGTTGGACCATGATGATAAGGGACTAAACCTCTGAAAATGTAAGCCATCTGAATTAAATGTCTTCCTTTTATAGGAGTTGCTGTGGTCATGGTGTCTCTTCACAACAATAGAAACCTAAAACAAAGCTATACCTTACTCTTGGTTACTCCTTTCAGACCGGGTCTTTGCTGGGGACTGCGGACCACCAGACCCTGAATTTCTTGTAAACAACTTGTTTTTCTTTGCTCTGAGAAGCCTGATGGCAGGGGAGTGGGTGCTGATGAGTTTGCAGCTGAAAGATCTGGGGCGTGGCCAGAGCCCTATATAAGCTGCCCCTGAGCACAATAAAGTGGACATTGTTATCTGAAGGATGGCCCCATGGCCCTGTCTGTCTGTTTCTGTCTGTGTGTTTTTAAATTTTCAGCCTAGTTCCCATAGCGCCTATCGAGTAGAGTGTGGAACAGAACCGGTGAAGTTTTACATGTCTTGTCCTAAGTAGTTCCATTGCAGAAGAGCAGTTGACTCCATTGTGAATATAGATGCAGAGGCACAGCGACTCCGCATCTCGCCTGTGTAAGTTAACAGTCACTGTCTGTCCATGAGACACAAACTGATAAGATAGCTTTACAAATAAAAAGAGCATCAACTATGAATTTACCAGATTAAATCAAGAACACATGGCTTAATAAAACCATATCAGGAAAAAACTGGCCAGTGAATTTATTGAGCACATCAAGCCAGTCAGCATGCAACCCCCTCAACTGGACCTTATGAAAGGAAGCACAGCTAATCCTGGTTATGCTAACACCCACCGGCCATCATCAAACCATCTGGTGCACAAGTGATTGGCTCAACAAAGGCCAAACTTCCTGATTCTGCCCTTGGGGCTTCAGCTGAGTAGACCCCTTCCCTACCTGACTTAAGACTATTTGAATTGTTGTGGGTGTAGATCCAGCAAGCTTGGAGTTAGTTCTGTAATTGAGTGTTACTCAACTAACCAACTACAGTGACCTTCAACTCTCTATTCCTGTAAGCCCTTTGAGCCCTACAGCAGTGGTTTCTTTTTACTGTGTATCTCTGGCTAGTCAGGAACTCACTTCTTGAATTTAGAAGACCCTTACACCTGATTCAAGATGTATGCCACCACGCTTGCCCTCCCCACCAACAGTTTTAACTAACCATTTCTAGTCATTTTGTAACCTAGATACTATTGTGTAGAGTGGTGTGTCCTCAGAATTAATATTATTGATTAGGATTAGAGTAAAAGAATCCATTACTGTCAATGGTCTTAAATACTAAGTGTAATCAGGAGTATTTGGGGAGTTAAGTCAACAAAATTGATGTACCTTTTGAAATTTTTGTTGTTCTGACATTGTAGAAAGAAAAAATGCTGATTTGTGTTTCTGGCATTGCTCAGTCAGGACACAAGCCATTACCTATCAGTGACAGTTAACCTGGCTTGTCAGCTTGACTGGATCTGGGATTAACTAAGGCACTCACATCTGGGAAGGTCTGGGGTCTGGGAGGGTCTGAGGGTATTTACAGTGAGGCTTAGGGTGACCAGAATAAAGAGGTCAGAGGGAAAGCAGGCTTCTCCTTGCCCATCTTTGCTTCCTGTTGGTGAGTGTTATCACCATGGGAACCCAGTTTCTTAGGACTTGCAATGTGAGCTGAAGATCGGGAACTTTAGTGCCAGACTGTGGCAGAGGCATCTGTAGACTGAGCGGCTACTGAGTCTCAGCCTCTCCAGTATATAAACCAATCTAATGAATATAATATTCATAATATTAAGCATAGTATAATCCAGTCTAATAAATCCCCCCATGTAGTATATACTTTGTTCTATAAATTCTATCCTTCTAGAGAACCCTGACTAATACAATATCCAAATATGATTTTAGTGAACTGAACAGAATCATATAAAATATTAACTAAATGGTTTGAATGTAAGTGGAATAATTTTTGCCTGACTCAACCATGTGACTTGTACAACATATATTTAACACCCATGTGCTTATTTGGATCATTTGATTCCATCTGTTGAGCAGCCAATTCAATAGAAAAGAAATGAGACAGGCTCACTTCTTAGACTATATTATCGAAACTTTTAGTTTTAGCAATCTTGCTCAAGATTCGTATTTTAGGGATGAGAAATTAGCATCACCATATAATAACTGACAAATAGTTAGCTACCAAAAAATAGTGACCCAAAAATGAAATAAAACAAATGCCCAGTGCCAATATGTCTCCATGGAATGATCTTGGTTTTCCTTATAACTCATGCCCTTGTGGGCAGTGGTTTGAGGTGTGGTTTGACTCAAGTTATTTCATGCTTGTCATTGCTCCAACCATGTGCTGCTGTTGAAAACCTACATTTCCTCTAACTCTTTACTGATGCAGCAAAGAAACATCATTTTGTTGTTGTTTGTTTGTTTGTTTGTTTGTTTGTTTTGAGACAGGGTTTCTCTGTGTAACAGCCCTGGCTGTCTTGGAACTCACTACGTAGACCAGGCTGGCCTTAAACTCAGAGATCTCTCTGCCTCCCAAATGCTGAGATTAAAGGCCTGTGCCACTACTTCCTGGCAACAGGTGTTTGTTGTTGTTGTTGTTTTGTTTTGTTTTTATTGGTTTTTTGAGACAAGGTTTCTCTGTAGTTTTGGGTCCTGCCCTGGAACTCCCTCTGTAGACCAGGCTGGCCTTGAACTCACAGAGATTCACCTGTCTCTGCTTCCCAAGTGCTGGGATTAAAGTTGTGCGCCACCAATGCCTGGTTTAAGAAAACATTTTGTTGATAAAACTGAGAAGCCGAATAGTAGTGAAAGCTTGCTTTATTTTTTCCTAAGCAAAAGGACACAGTTTCCACCTTAGAGCTCAATCTACATTAATTTTTGTTTAAATTTCATGTATTTGTGTATGTGTACAACTTGAAGGAGTCGCTTTTCTCTTTCTACTGTGAGGATCCCGGGGATTGAACTGAGGTTGTCAGGCTTGATAGCAATGGCCTCGCCTGTTGGGTCATCTTGTCAACCTCCAATCTACATTTTAAGTAGACTCCTTAGAAGCATTCATCCATCCTACAAAGAACTCTTGATCTTTTTCTGTGTCCCAGGTGTATGCTAAGGATTGTGACTTGTGGCTCCTGTTACAGAAGGGCAGGGGTTGCAGCCCATGGGGGTGAGAGAGGCAAGCAAATCACACACAAGCAGGAACTAAGTATCCGTACAAAGTTGAAAGGATGGAGGAGGCAATGGAGATTATAGACAACACCATGCACAAAGCCTAGGGATCCTGAGTGTCTGTGATGAAGCAATTAAACAAAAAGGGCTTCAGGCCTGTAGTAAAAAGGCATTTGACCTCATCCTGAAGGCAATGTGTTATCAGAAAAGTCACTTCCTGGAGACAGCTGACTGACGGTCTTGGAGGAGGACCAGATGTGGTGGGCAGGGCTCCTGAGCAGTACTACTGTCCCAAGTACCTTCCTTCCCTATGGTATTTTGATTCTCTGGTTTTCCGTAGTGTACTTTGCTCACAACTTTAGGACTAGAACTTGAGGTAACTTTGTAGGGCTTGGGGGAAATCATTCTGCCAGAAATCATTTTCCTGAAGAGCAAGCAAATGCACCACAGCACTGGGGGTAATTATCACATGAAATACGTGCAGCTCCAATGCTACTGACATGCAGACTTGGCTTTTTTTTTTCTGACATTATAAAGGGCAAGATGACCCTTTTGTCACCTATCCAGGAACTTCACTGAAGGCTCTAGCTGTGGCGGTGGCATTACAGAACACCACAGTCACCAAGGGGGCACCTTCTAGCATTAACACCACAGGTTATACAAAGGGTTCCTTTTTAAAAGATACACCTATGGCACATCTAGATTCTCTAAGAACAACTCTCCGTGATGAACCTATGCCACAGAATCTATCAGAATGAAAATCAGAGGACTCATGAAGACTCACTACGCCTGCCTGGCATGGGGAAAGCCAAAGCCCCCTTTAAAGGAGGGAATCTTTCTGTTTGTTTGTGTGGGTTTTTTGTTTTCATTTTTTTGTGTTTTTGTTTTTGTTTTGTTTTGTTGAGAAAGGGTTTCTCTTTATACCCCTGACTGTCCTAGAACTCACTCTGTAGACCAGGCTGACCTCGAACTCACAGAGATCTACCTGCTTTTGCCTCCCAAATGCTGGGATTAAAGATTGGTGCTACTACCACCAGGCAAAGGAGAGGGTTTTAATGGAGGAAATTCCCAGATCAGATCAGCCTGTGGACGTGCCTAGAGGGAATTACCTTAATTGTTCACTGACAGGAAGGGCCCAGACCATAAAGGGTGGAATCATTCCCTGGGTTGGTAGTCCTAGGTTGGATTAGAAAGCTAGCTAACCAGGAAAGGGGGCAATGTATCAGCAAGCAGTGTGTCCGCCATGTTTACAGCTCCAAGTTCCCACCCCGGTGTCCCGCATTGCTGGACTGTGGTCTGGAGTTGTAAGGCAGCATAAAAACCCTTTCCTCCCCTAAGTTGCTTTTGGTCGTGGTGTTTTATCAAAACAACTGAGATAAAACTAAAACGATCAGGAAAAGTACAAGATAAACTTAGAAGAGCGTGGTGGAGTTAGAACACCAGGAAGCTCCCAAAGTGTGACGGAGATAAGGCGGAGGACACAGAAGCCAACTTGAATAATGGGCTTTCATTAGCCGAATCTGGAACAGTCCAAAGAGTAAATGCATCGTGGGGACTGGAGAGATGGTTCAGTGGTCAAGAACACTTGATGCTCTTGCAGAGGACCCAGGTTCTTTTTCTAGCAATCAATTTTCTCTGCTTTCAACCATCCTTAATGCTACTTCCAGGGGATCTAATGCCATCTTCTAGACTTTGCAGGCACTGTATAAAACAGACATACAGGCAAACGCTTAAAGACATAAGGTAAAAATAAATAAATCTTAAATATAAATATTTATATATGTAGCAGCAAAAATTATAAATCCATTGAATATATTTGAAATCTATGAGTGCATAGTAAGAAGATAGATGATAGATACATAAATGATAGATAGATGATAGATAGATAGATAGATAGATAGACAGATAGATAGTCTTACAATCTTACAATAGCATGCCAATCAATGACCATTTAGCACATGCTTTGGCAGCACATATACTAAAATTGGAATGATACAGAGAAAATTAGCATGGTCCCTGTGAAATTGACATGCAAATTTGTGAAGCATTCCATATTTAAAAAAAAAGAAAATCACCATTTAGTAGCCTTTGTAGTAATCATTAAAGCAAGAGACATTAGCAGATCCTAAATCTAGTGGCAAATTTGATGAGAAATGTGCCATTTGCATGGTCTCAAGTCCCTATTTTAAAATGAAAAGAGAATAAGTTCATGGTGAAAAAGCCTAACCTAAAACCTGAGACAAGCAATTAAAGCTAACACTATTGTCCAGCTACTTGGGTAGACACACCCAAATTTGGGGACCACAGCACAGCCTCCCAAATAGCGCAGAAATCATAGACAAATGGAAACCATAGAAAACCACCACAAGCAGCCAGGCGGTTGTGGCACATGCCTTTAATCCTAGCACTCCTGAGGCAGAGGCAGGTGGATCTCTGTGAGTTCAAGGCCAGCCTGGTTTACAAGAGCTAGTTCCAGGACAGCTCAGACTATGCATAGAGAAACCCTGTTTCAAACACCCCCCCTCCCAAAAAAAGGAAAAAGAGCCGGACGGTACTGGTGCACACCTTTAATCTCAGCACTTGGGAGGCAGAGGCAGGTGAATCTCTGTGAGTTCGAGACCAGGCTGGTCTACAAAAGGATAGGCTCCAAAGCTACAGAGAAACCCTGTCTTGAAAAACAAAACAAAAAAAACAAAAGAAAGAAAAAGAAAACCATAAGCAGTTCCTGAAAAACACATGGTTTGCCAAGAATCAGAAAGTTCCAGGAGCTATAGGCCAAGTGCCAAGGCTATGGCACATGCCATTGCTATCCAGACCCTGGTAAATCCTAAGGAAGTCAAAATCAACAGTGCTTTAGCCACAAGTTCAATTAACTTGTCCACATTGCCCACCCCAAGCTGCAGAAGCACCTTACATCCCCATTGCATGGGTGCCTACAGCACTAGTGTGTCCAGCTCTGCTGGCCAGTGCCAAGGCCAAGAACCCTGGTCCCCATAAAGACTCTGGGACAGAGGTCTTCACCAATCCCTATGAGGACGGAAAGACCACTATCTTCCTGGGCTATTGTCTACACAGAGCTGTTATCCCCAAATGCTATTTGTGTAAATAAATCTGAACCAGGACCTGTGGAAAATCATAAATAGTGTCGATAATGGGACAGATAGAATCATGTTCCATCTGATAAACTGCAGTAGCAACACCAACCGCTTGGGTGAAATTTCTACCCAAACACTTACTGACTGGAAATATCAGACAAGCACAGACTGAAGAAAGGTCTACAGAATCACTGGTCTGTAGTCCTCAAAGATGCTAGCATTCTGAGAAACATGGGGAGAGCGAGGAATGTGGCGGGCTGAACTCAGTTGAATGCCAGGGGTCTGTGGCTTTGTTAACTAGTCAGACCCATTGGTTCAGGGGTCACGGTTCACATGCAGAGCACACGCAGCAAGGAATAAAACCCCGGAGAAGAGCTGTGGACTTCACACTGGAGTCTGTAGAGTCACGTGGGAGAGCGTAGCAAAACGATGGGACAGTGTTTCTCTTATCTCTACACTGGGAAGTGTCACCTATGACCCCAATGGATGACACACTGGGTGTGTGTGGGTGCCACTGAGCTAAGTGTTACATAACCTCCCTCCAGGGAGTCCCTGGCCTCTTCCTCTGCTCCTCCCTGAATGCACTCCCCTGTAGGTCCCTCCTGGTTCCTATTGCTGGAGTTGCCATGGCTCTCAAAGGCCGTTGTTCTCTTAGTTCCTCGATGTTCACAGGACCAGGTTTTGGTTCCTGGGTGGTACAGAGGGACATTCCTCAGCTAGCTGCAATGTTCCTTTTCCTTCACTTCACTGCCTCCTGTCCCCACTCCACTCCAGCCAAGCTAGTGGAGGTCACTCCCCAAAGGCCTTGCTCTTCTCTCCCCTCTCTGCCTTCTCAGGATTCTCTTTTCCTTCATGTCCCTTCCTCTTGTCTCTCTCTGGAGAGACAAGTCAACTTGCTGTCATCCTCCTTGCTTCTCACAGTCCCCCTGTCCCTTGGGCATAGATGGTCAGGGAGCCTAGAACCCGCCGCTCCCATGCTCACTTCCAACACCCTTAATTTCTGTAATTTGACCCCTAGCAATCACTTCCCAGTGATCAGAAAGCAGTCAGAGGCAGGGGTCACATCCTCCTCAGGCCAGCAAACCCACCACACCGGGCTGTGTCTGCTGTGGCCGGCCCTCCATCGTTTCTATTGGTTAACCTAATGGCATTGATAATAGCAACAAGTATTCTATTTACTGTTTGTTTGCCAGTCCCCTATCAGGTCATTTGCTAAATGCATCCATGACTCAGGGTGAGAGGAGCAACCTACCCTTCCCTCCCGTGAGATGACATCTTTTATGGCACAGATCTCGAGGGAAGTCCACAGATGGGAGGGCCTTCTAGCGCCAGGAAACTTGGCTCACTGGAGCCACTGTCAGAGTGGACAGGGAGTTCTCTCTCAGGCGGGGCTCCCCAGGAAGGTGAGGCAGGTGTGGGGCTCTCTAGGAAGGCACGGGGCCAGGGACAACCACTGACAGGGAGTAGGGCTCTGTGCTCAGCATGGAACAGTACCTGGGAAACAGCAGTATCTGGCCAGTTCCTTAAAGATCAGATAAAGAACAGGGGCAGGAGGCAGCGAGATAGCACAGTGGTTAAAGTGCTGGCTGCTCAAGCGTGGGGACCTGAGTTCCATCCCCCAGAGCCCATATACAAAACCAGACGTGATGGTGCATGCCTATAACCCCAATGCTGGGGAGGTAGGGGACAGGAAGAGCCCTGGGGCCTCGATGGCCAGCCAGCTTAACCAAATCAATGAGCCCCAGGTTCCAGGGAGAGTCTATCTCGAAAGAAAAAAAGAAAAAACAAAAGAAAAGAAAAGAAAAAAAAAAAAAACAAGGTAGATTAAAGTCTCAGACCTTCACAAAAAACTGCAGGCAGCTAAGGAATGCCAAGAGTGGGAGAAAAAGTCTTTTTTCCCAGGGAAGAGCACACCAATTGATTACCCAATACCAGGTGCTCAGCCCTGAAAATATACACACAAATAGCGTTATACAGACTGAGCAAGTTGCTTTACACACACACACAACAATGAAAAAAGAGGTCATGAATTTGAGAGGCAACAAGAAGGGATATATTGGAAGATTTGGAGAGAAGGACGGGAAAGGAGAAGTTATGTAATTATATTATAATCGTAAAAAATAAATTAATTATAGCCGGGGGTGGTGGTGCACACCTCTAATCCCAGCGCCAGAAGGCAGAGGGATGTGGATTTCTGTAAGTTTGAGGGCAGCTTGGTCAACATAACAAGTTCCAGAGTAGCCATGATGTAGAGAGACTCTGTCTCAAAAACCTAATGATAATAATGATGATAAAATATAAAAAATAAAATAATAAGTGTAAAGTTTTTAAATGTAAAAAATTTTAAGTTGATAAAATATAGTTTGTACTTTAAGTCTATCAAAAATTTAAAACCTATTAAACCTTATAATATATTTTGTTTTTCAGAATCAAAATAAATGTTATCAATATGAAAAAACAAAGGAGTTTTGGCTTCTGAGGTAGGACATCCCAGGTTGACCTCTGATCCCCCCCACATGCACACACACAACCAACACAGTTAAAGAATAAAGGAAAGGGAGACACTTTGTCTACTCCAATGCACTTAACAGACTCAAGTTTCATATACAAATACATTAGAAAACGAAACAAAACATGGAACGTGGCCAATTGACCAAAAGATTGTTCGCTCTGCCCTGCTGGACAGGAAGAAAAACGTAAGGCTGAAACCTGCCAGCGAGTTGGAGAAATAAATCACATGTGTTTAGATTCCTGTCATGCCATCGTGAGCCTGGCTGCTCCTCCCCAGCAGGGTCCGGCTGGTGCCTGATACCTCCTGGGCTGGTTATCTGTCAAAGGGAATGTTTGGAAGATGTGTCTGTCCACCCTCCGTTGCCAGCCCCTCAGCACCCCTGTTCCTGAAGCTCTTGCTCTTTTGCAGAGAGCTAGCTGTGGAAATAGACGTTAGCTCACCCATGACTAAAGGGTCTCTGTCCTGAGCTGGGCCCCCCTCTTCTTACAGCTCTCCTGCTGTTTCGAGATGTAGATAGCCTGCCATTCTGGGCAGACCAGCAGAGCAATTTAGATTGTTTTGGTGGCATTTCGTTGTTGTTGGTTGAGTGGTTTGTTTCATTTTTGGCTTTTTTTTTTTTTTTTTTTTTTTTTTTTTTTTTTTTTTTTTTTTTTTTTTTTTTTTTTTTTTTTTTTTTTTTTTTGTTTATTACTGTCACATTTAAAAGCTAAGCCAACCTAAGCCCACTACTTCAGCTCGTATTCAAGTCTAGTTGTATGCCCAAGTAAAAACAAAAATTAACTGCAATATCACCATTCGTTAAGGATTTTTTTGTCTGTCTTTGAGACAGGGTTTCTCTGTAGTTTGGAGCATGTCTTGGACTAGCTCTTGTAGACCAGGCTAGCCTCAAACTCTGTAAGTAAGATAGTCAGAAACTCCTGATCCTCCTGCCTCTCCTTTTCCAGGGCTAGGATTGCCTGTTCTGATTGAGTTCTGCTCTGTGCAGAGGCAGTGGATTTCCCTTGGCCTTGGGGGACAAAGCTGCTATATCCACCCATCCCAGAGTCATGACTGTCCTGCACCCCAAGAACCACAGGCAAGGAGAGGACGGCAGATGCCTCAACAGGAAGTCATGGGGTATGGAGTAGGCTGTCCTAGAGCAAAGAAGCCACCAGGAGACCTGCCACTCCACACACCCCTCTCCCCTTCTAGTAACAAGAGGACAACAGTCCTAACAAGGGTTCCTTCTATGGCTCACGACCTCTGCCGGGCTCTAGAGTAAGCACGTTGTTACATCACTTGGTTCAATCCTTGCCCCAGTCACTGGGGATTGTGTCCCTCATATTTTCAGAGAAGACTGAGTGTGAGTGAGCCTGCCTAGTCTCCCAGCTACTAAAGAGCAAATTCGGTCACCAAGGCTTGTTCAGCCTCCTCTTCTCCTCTCCAGGGGTCTTGAGTCATCTCATCCTTGGCTTTGACAAGACAGTGACTGGCATGCATGATGAAGACACAGGAGGTCACGGATCGGGTGACCTGGGGTATCTTTATCACCTTCTCCATGCAGTCTTATAACAGTATACCATCCAACCCCTCCTCCAGGAAGCCTTCCCCGCTGCCTGCGCACAAGGAGGGAAACCCTCACTTACCAAACCCTCCCAGGTCCTTTCTTGGCCCCTTTGATATTCAAAGAAGAGTTCAAGGCCCAGAAGCCTCAGCACTGGCTGGTTGAGATACCAGACCCTCCTTGAAACACGTATCTCTTGGTGTGTGTACACATGTGTGTACATGTGGACAAGTGTGTGTGGAGGCCGGAGGTCGGCCTCTAATATCTTCTTCAATTGAAACACGTATCTCTTGGTGTGTGCACACATGTGTGTACATGTGGACAAGTGTGTGTGGAGGCCGGAGGTCGGCCTCTAATATCTTCTTTAATTGCTCTTCACTTTGTTTTTAAAATATTTCTATTACTTTTGGCTTTTTCTTTTCTTTCTTCTTTCTTTTCTCTCTCTCTCTTTCTTTCTTCTTTCTTTCTTTCTTTCTTTCTTTCTTTCTTTCTTTCTTTCTTTCTTTCTTTCTTTCTTTTTGATACACAATTTCTCAGTAGCTATGGAGCCGGTCCTGGAACTCGCTCTACTGTAGGCCAGTCTGGCCTTGAACTCACAGAGATCCACCCACCTCTGCCCAGCACTACTGTTTTTGAGACAGGATCTCACTACATAGCCCTGGTTAGCCTGGAACTTGCCAAATAAAGTAGGCTGACCTCAAATCGAAATCTGCTTCCCTCTGAGTATTGGAGGTAAAGGTGTATGCCCCTACCCACCAAGATATTTATATATTTTTAAGTGTGTGCATGTATGCATTCATGTGTGTGTGCACATGTGTTGTGTGCAGGTACATCTAGAGGCCAGAAGTGTTAGATCTCCTGGAGCTGGAATTACAGGTAGTGTGAGCAACCAAACATAGGTGCTAGAAACCTAACTTGGGTCCTCTGCAAGAGCAACATCTTAACTACTAAGCCATCTCTCCAGCCCCTCCATGTTGATTTTGAGACAGGGTTCTTACTTTTTTTCTGGAGCTGGCCCATTAGAGCAGGCTGGCTGGAGAATGGGCCCCATCGATGCCCTGTCCCTGCCTGCCCAGCCCTGGAATTGCAGGCACATATCACCATATCCAGTTTTTCACATAGGTTCTAGGGCTCAGTCTCTGGTTCTCATACTTGACTGATAAGCGGTTGACTGCATGAACAGTCTCCCTGATCCTGAAACCGACATCTTAACAAGACTCCAGGTGGGACCAAAGCGCCTTGTATTCTGAAGTCTGTTTCCCGATACACCAGAGCCTTTAACTGCCAATCCTCTGATTCCAGAGCTATCTGCTTGTAGGTCTTTCTTTTTTGTTTGTTTGCTTTTGTTCTTCAGGGACTGTAAGTGCTGAGACGGCTTCTGCAAAGTCCGAGTCTGTCCGGATTGCACAGAGGCTAGAGCAGACCTGGAGACAGGAGGTCCTCGTAGGCAGAGTGATGGATCACAGCTCCGTAAACGGTGGTATGCTGCCAACCAGATCTTGATGTCTCCAGGCCTCTCAGGTCCCACCTTCCTCTGGGTCCTGAAGGCACGTAGGCAAGCTTTGCTTTTTGTCGGGCCCTCTGAGATACAGTTGGAGTAAGATGTCACACCTTGATTTTCTTAATGCCCAAAGAGCCCAGGTCCAAGCCTGGCCTCCTTCACTAGGGCCACCTCCCTGACCCACAGCTCAGGTGTCCCAGGGGCACTGAAGGGGCTGTGCGTTCTTGGCAGCACAGCCCCCCCCCCCCCCGAACCCAAGAGGGAGCCACCTCCTGCGGGCTCTGGAATTTCAGAACCCGGTTCATAAAAGACTTTATAGGAATCCTGTGGTCTCTGCCAAGCTGCTGCCTGGATCCTGCCCTATTGTGCTTCTGCGGAGCTGTCACCCCCTCTTAAACAGCGCTCCCCCTCTCCTTTTAATCACTTATTTAACGTGTGCACCGGCCCTTGAAGAGAAACTAGCTATTTGCTCTTTCTCACTTCCTGTGAGAAGGGTGGGGCCCACCGCTGCTCGCTCCTTGACAGTTCCTATGATTGAGTGTGGGAGTTAGGCCTTCTGCAGGCAGGGGAGTGAACCGAGCTGTCTCTGGAATGCGTGTAGGCCATGCCGCCCCGAAGGGCTTGCTGATAAAGGGACGTGGCGGGGAGCACATAGTGCGTGAGTGTGGTGTTCAGGGCACACCTGTCGTGAGAGTGTTGTGTATGGTAAGTGATGTGTGTGTATGTGTTGGGTTATATTACGTACCTCCGCCTTCTTCCCTTGCAGAGGTCTTTTGTGTTTCGGGTGGTCTTCCACAAGGGCAGAGAGTAGACTTTTCTCTCTAATGAGAGTCAGCTCCTCTCCTTAGGTGCAGGGGATGGACTCTTGGTAGCTACTGTAGGTTTCACGGTGTCTTTTATGGCTCCCTATGAAGTCCAGTCCCAGGTTTTAAGGATATGAGTCTTCAGGGGTGGGTCTCAAGGCAAACCCAGAGAAGATAATCTTCACCTCGGTACCATCTCAGATCAAGACAAGGTGAGTCCTGGTGTTGAGCTGGACCTGTGCACTGCCTCACATGCACGAGACCTTTGAGCCTTGGGTCATGTGAGCCATCAGGCCCATCCCAGAACAAAGTCAAGGAGAGCGCAGTTATAAAAGGCAGTCTTGATGGCTGTCCTGGGTAGGTACTCCTTTCCCTTCTTGATTTAGAGGCAGAGACCTAGAAGGGATAGGAGTATAAATTCTGGACCTCACCAATCTAGAACCAAACTCAGTTCTGTCACATACTACGTACAGAGTCCTTAAGCAATTTATTTAACCTTTCTGTGCCTTGCTCTTCATCCACAAAGAAAGTATGGTAGAATCACACACACACACACACACACACACACACACACACACTCTCACTCCATGGGGCTGCTGTGAGACTCAGGGGGGTTGGCAAAGAGTTTAGAACCCCAATGCCTATTAGCCATGACTCTTGGGGACTCTGAGTCTTATAGTCCACTAATGACCTGTTAGGGCTTGCGTTTTAATCCTCTGAAACCCCGAGGGTAAAATTCATCCATGGAATTTCCTACACAGCGGAAAGGAAGTAAGACCCGCACACATCTTATTTCCGGCTGTGCAGACAGCTTTTCAGAGGATGTGCTGAGTGGCAAAGCTCTAGCTCTGCTCCAGGAAACACACACACTGCCCGAGGGAAAGACACTGACCCTACAGACAGCCTGTGAGCCTGTGCGCATTCCTGACGCGGATGTGTGGTGTTGGGGATGGGACCCAGGGCCTCAGACATTAGCTGAGTAAGCCGTCGGCCACTGCAGTACACCCGGGGCCTAAAACTTTCTACTTTGGTAACTCATTTCATGAACTTAAAACTAAGAGAATATCCACATTCCGATGGATACCTGGGGAGTTTCTACTGCTATTTCTACCTAAATACATGGCTTGATGAAGACAGGACAAGACAGGATCCCAAATGAAGTCTGTGGAGATTCGCTTCTTGTTGCACTCTTAATACCGATCGTCACGCTGTTTTCAGAGCCTCAAATCTATTTAAATAAATCCGCGGGCCGGGTGGTGGTGGTGCACGCCTTTATCCCAGAACTCGGGAGGCCGAAGCTGTAGATCTCTGTGATTTCGAGGCCAGCTTGGTCTATAAGAGCTAATTCCAGGACAGCCAGGGATGTTACACAGAGAAACCCTGTCTCAAAGAAAAAAAATTAATAATTAATCAATTAGAAAAATAAATCCGTGGAACGGAAACACAATACTATATAAATCATTTGTGTATCCACTCCTTCATCTAGCCAGCAATTATTTATTAACACATTGTATGTCAAATATTACGTTGGAGGGTACTAAGGTTGTAAGGACTCATAGATATGATACAGGGGTTAATAATAATACGTAACATTTATATTATGATAAAAATCAATACAAGAGGGCCCAGGCAGGCAATGGTTCAGTGAGTGAAGATGCCAAGCCCTGGTCTCTACATGGCAGAAGGAAAGAATAGACTTCAGCAAGTTCTCCTCTGGCCTACACACATGCGCACACACAAATAAACGAGGAAATAAAATTGTAATTAAAAAACAAGGAAAGAAGGAATACTGTTAGCGGCAGCAGGGAAACACAGCCCAGCACAGACACCAGCAGCTTGAGAGTTCGTTCCCTTCCCCCTTAGGGACCTCCACTCAGGAAAAGATGGAGACTATTGTTTAGACAGAGTGACACACAGGGAAAGAACACACAACCCTAAGGAATGGGTATGGCTTTCTAGAGAGTCAAGCTTAGGTGTTTTTAGAATGGCTGTATATAATTGTGACATTTTATTCTTTCTTTTCTGTTTTTTAAAATAATTTATTTTTAAGTTCATTGGTGTTTCGTATACATGTATGTCTGTGGGAGGGTGCCAGATCCTCTGGAACCGGAGTTATAGAGAGCTGTGAGTGGCCATGTGGATGCTGGGGATTGAACCTTGGTCCTCTGTAAGAGCAGCTAGTGCTCTTAGCCTCTTGCCATCTGCCCAGCTCCTCATTCTTTCTTTTAAATTGAATTTTCTATTAGGTATTTAGTTGCACTTTTCATTCATTCATTTTTTTGAATGTACATCTATGAACACGCAAGTCACTGTGGAAGTCAGAGAACCACTACAGAACACAGTTTCCTCCTTCCACTCCATCCCAGGGTCCTAAGGCTGGAGCTCAGGTCTCCTTGGTTTAGCATTCACCCCATCCCTGGGTCTTGAGCTGGAACTCAGGTCTCTTGGGGCTTAACAGCAGGAGCCATTATCTACTGACCCATCTTGCCCGGTCCTGTGACTTCCAAAGTTACATTCCTCAAAGGATACCATTTACAAGGTTTAAAGATTAAGCAAAGCTTAAAGATTAAAGGATAAGTAAAAATTCAGGAGTTGGCTTCAGTCTGTTTTTGACCTTAGCAGCCTTTTGTTAATGAAATTGTGAGGCGGTTTTTGTGAGGAGTGCTGTGTATGCTTAGGGGTGAGAGATGAGCACAAACAAAGGAAAATTCAGGGCCACAAACATTCTCCCCCTGAGTAAGTATGGCTCCATTGTCCTTAATAGACTTCTTTGAGGTACCATTAGGCAAACACACACTGTCTCTGGAAGTATGTCTTAGTTAGGGTTTATGTTGCTGTGACGAAACACCGTGGTCAGAAGCAAGCTGGGGAGGAAAAGACTTGTTTCATCTTACAGTTCATAAATCCATTATCAAGGGACGTCAGGACAGGAACCTGGAGGGAGGAGCTGATGTAGAGGCCATGGAGGAGTGCTGTTGACTAGCTTGCTCAACGTGCTGTCTTATAGGACCCAGGACCACCAGCCTGGAGAGACACCACACACAGTGAGGCGGGCCCTCCTACACATCAATCATTAATCAAGAAAATGCTCCACAGATTACCCATAGGCCAATCTGGTGGGGGCACTTCTCAACTGAGGTTCTCTCTTCCCAAATGACTCTAGTTCAGGTGGCGTTGACATAGAACTAGCCAACACAAGGCAATTTTGACTCTGTAACCTATATTGAACTTCCTCGGCTGTCAGTCATTAGGACAGGCTGACTGGATCCTATGGTGAGGGGCTTCAGTGCCTTCTCATGCCCTTTCTTTTCCCCACCTCAACACGCCAACACATTTACAACACACCTTCAGTCGGTGAGAGGCTCAGAGGCACTTTGGCAATGCAGCGGGGGTTAGAAGCTTGGAGACAACCTCTCCCAAGCTGGCCACAGTCAGACCTGACAAACAAGAGGAAGAAGCAGCCTGTCCCCTCAGGCAAATGATTTCTATGGTGGTGATGTAAAACAAACAGAAGAATTCAAGAATAGAACAGCATTCTCTTTCATGAGCCCTGTTTACTATACTACCACAAATTCGTGTAAACTGTGTGTACTTCTTGTACCAAGAAAATGCTCGGCTTTCATTAAACAAGAAAGAGCACTCTCGTTCTTGAGAGGAAAGGAATTGTTTTCACATAAAAAACCGTCGCCTAGCAACCAAACAGCGACTCACACACCTTGTTTCCAGCCGTGGCCACACAGCCCCACCCTCTCGCAGGCTCATTCCTGCTAACTCACAAACGTGAAGGAAGATCTTTTACTAGGATCCGTGGTGGCTGTTACTGGATTTTAAGTTTCTAGAGTAAAACACCAACCAGTGTGATGTTCTGCCAGTTCCTCCTCATGTAGTCACACGGCGCCTCTGGGAAAGCCAGGGCATAGCAAGGAGGAGGGAGGACCTTTGGGCTGGATTCCTCTTTCTGTGTTTTTCAAAGCCTGGTGGAGGCCTCGCTCTTTGCTCTTCAGCCTGGGGGCAAGGGAATCTTTCTCTGGCTTCCTGCCTTGGTGTGGAAATGGAATCCCACACTATAAGGACTACTTCTCAGAGTCAAAGCCCAAGTCCCTTCCAGTACCACAATCATCTCATTGCCTGGTGCTAAGAGTCGAAATGAGTAACCCGTCTCCCCTCCAACGTCCTGTGCAACAGAGCCACGGGACTCAATGTTTGGAAGTGAAGTTGCTAACCAACATTCTATAGAACAGAGTGTATCCAGCGGTGTGAGTCACAGGCCAGTCACTTCGCCTGTGGACCTCACACTGGGTGTGCCAGCTGCTGTAGGTTGACTCAGGGCTTAACCCCTCCGAGTCTGGGAAATTCCACTCACCTGCTTTTTCCACGAAGTCTCAGACACGACTGAACGGCCCTGAGGATATCCATAGGAGTCAGAAAAGGCCAGCCAGGAAAGGTGGAAGTGTGTGGCTTACAGTTATCCCGCCATAGGTTTCTTCTGTTGGTAGGGACTGTAACGGAGGGGAAATGCAAATTTTAGCAGTTCAGCAATTAGGCCCAGCAATTAAGTGTGACTTTCAATCTAGCCATGTAGGCAGTTTTAGATTCAAGAGAGTTCAATATTCCCTGAGATCACATGAGTCATCCCATCATTCACTACCTCTTGGCTTTGCCTTCCCGTGCGATAGGCGAGCACCCTATCGCTGATACACCCTCAGTCTTGATTGCTGTTTTTATCACCGTCACCGTCATTGTTGCCATACTGGTGTGTGTGTGTGCAGTGCGTGTGCACGCACATGAGCATGCAGTATGTGAGTGCGCATGTGAGTATGTCTGTGTATGAGCGTGCAGAGACAATACGACCACGAGCAGACGTCGGATGTCTTCCTTCATTGCTCTTCACCTTATTGCCTTGAGACAGGGACTCACTGGACCAGAACCTAGCCACTCTGGCTAAGTGGGCTGGTTAGTAAGTTCCTGAAGTCTACTTGGGTTAGCATGCATGCATAGCCAGGCTCAGATTTATGTATGTATGCATGCATGTATGTATATATGTGTGTATTATGTATGTAAGTATGTATGTAGTAGAATTTGAACTCAGGCCCTCACAATTGCAAAGCAAGTGCTTTTATCCACCGAGCCATCTCCCCAGCCACTATGAACTTGGTTGCTGTTGTCAGTTGTTTATTTGAGATGGGCTGACCTAGATCAGACTCACAGAGATTTGCCTCCTTGTGCCTCCTGAGTTCTGGAACTAAAAGCTTGTGCCACTCTGCCTGGCCCTGGTTTAAAACAGATGCTAATTTGCGCTTTTGATTGGTCAGTTTTTCAGGCCTCAGGTCTGGGTGTTAGTTGGAGTCACGTGGTCTGCACATCCTCAGGTCTGGGTGTTAGTTGGAGTCACGTGGTCTGCACATCCCAGTCTGTGTATATCCCATCCAAGTGTGTGCAGAGGTTCTCTTGTGTAAACAGTGGCCTCAGCATGAGTGCATCTGACCCTGCTCACCGAAGACATAGATTCTCCAGCCTCTTTGTGACATCATGATTGTTGTTTTCTTCCAATCTCGGGCCCCCTCTTTATGATCAGGCTGGTTGGTTTGTTTCTTTGAGAATGGGTTTCTCTATGTAGTCTGGATGCTCCGGAGCTTGCTGTGTAGACCAGGTTGGCCCAAAATTCACAAAGATCCTCCTGCTTCTGCCTTCTGAGTGCTGGAATTAAAGGTGTGTGCTATCACACTCAGAAACAATGTAATTTGCGGGGGGGGGGGATGGTGAGGGGGTACAGCTCAACCCATAAAGGTTGGGATAATCTATCTATTTTGGTCAAGCCTTCTCCAGAAAGTGAGTCAAGCTTGAGGAGA